CTCTAAAAGGCTCTATATATAGAGGTACTAAGTGCTAAGACGCTAGGCTAGGTTATATAACAAGGTTATATAATAAGGTTATATAACTTAAAGTTATATAACCTAAGATAAATCTCTAAACTAAACTATTATAGAAGTTCTCTTATATATAAAGCTTTTAATAGCTCTCTTTAGCTTATTACTAAAGATATTTTTTCTACTACTAACTAGATTTACTAGTAGTCTTATATAGCGCTAGAGAGATAAGTAATTAGACTCTTATAGCTCTAATTCTTAGTATAGTTATTAGTAAACGCTTCTTATAAGTCTATTTAGTTTAGTTTAATATTATACTACTATCTTTAGCTAAAGAGGTATTAACCTTTAAATAATATAAAAGCTAGCTCTATAGTCTCTACTACTATACGTACGCTCTAGAATACCTAGCTAGATAAGTTAATTATAGGTAATATAGTCTCTATAAGCTATAAGAATAAGAGTAATAAGTAGAGTAGATTAGATTAAATTTAGCTATCTAAAGATAAAAAGTAGAGAAAAGGCTTTAAGAAGCTCTATATATAGAGATACTAAGTATTAAGACGCTAGGCTAGATTATATAATAAGGTTATATAACCTAAAGTTATATAACTAAGATAAATCTCTAAACTAGACTATTATAAACTAGAATAGTTTTAGAAATATATTTTAGAGCTTAGAGATAAGCTTTTTCTATAAGAGAGAGTAATATAATAGTTTAACTTAGCTTTAACTTAGTATCTTAGTCTAACTTAACTTTACCTAAGTTATATAACTCTACCTAGCGTCTTAGTATAGATACTCTATATATAGAGAGCTCTTAAAGTATTCTTCTACTTCTTATCTTTAGATAGCTAAATTTAATCTAATCTACTCTACTAGTACCTTTTATTCTTATAGCTTATAGAGATAATACTATCTATAGCTAACTTATCTAGCTAGATATTCTAGAATACTTATAGTAGTAGAGACTATAAACCTAGCTTTTATATATATCTAACGTCTCTATACTAAGTAAGAAATACTATCTTTTCTATAAAACTAATTTCTACTTCTTATACTTATATCTTAATCTATATTTTTACGTACTATATAACTAGCTAGAGAAAGTTAATATAATATACGTCTTTTATACTATAGATAATTTTATTTTATATACTATTCTCTTTTTAGAAATTAAGGTAAAGCTAGAGAATAGTAACTAGAAAGAGGTAGAGCTATAGATAGATATCTAGATAGTAGTAAGTTTATAGTAGAAGATAGAGCTAGTAAAAAGAGCTTTTAGAACTTAGGTATTAGAAAGCTAATCTACGTCTAGTTCTAGAGTTAGTTTTAATTTTAATAAGACTAAAAATTCTAATATTAATATAGATAACTTCTCTATTACTACTCTTCTTAAATCTACTTTTACTATTATTAGCTATAAGTATAAAATCTACTATACCTATCTATCTTCTATTACTAGAGATATTACTATTCTTAGACTAGATAAAAAGTTTATAAATTTATTAACGCGCTTTATCTAGAGTATTTTTAAACTTATTAGCTTTTATACTACTATCTTAGGCTATAGATATAAGGTAAAAATAGATAGTAGGTAAGAATTAGTAGAAGAACTCTAGGGTAACTATTTAGAGAAGGTTATTAGAGAAGTTAGTAGAGGCATCTAGCGATAACGTAATAACGAGACCTAGAGCTTATTATCCTCTAACAACACTAAGCTAAAACAAGTCGCCGTCCTTGAACTGCCTTTGCTGCGCCTGATTTACAACTCGTGGATTCTGTTCCGCTTTCTAGTATAGCACCGTTCTAGTCTCTAGATCTCGCTACTATTTTAAGACCGTGGCTCGGATCTACCCCGCCTTTAGAGCCGTTTTAGAGCTCGCTGCACTATTCTAGCCTCTTTTACCTGTAACTACTAAAAGTACTCTAGCTTAGCAAACGTATGTATGCGTGTGCGTGTATATATGTATATATATATATGTATGTTCTATTATAGCTATACACTCTATAGGTATAGGCCGTTACGAAGCGCTAGCTATGTACATTCTATTATTAACTATCTGCTCTAGTTTAGAAGCTAACTATAAGACCTGCTAATTGTATATCTAACGCTATGCTTAGCTCCGCAAACAAGCGGAGCTAGAGCAGTTTGTTTAGTACGCTTGCAAGAGGGATTAGGACGTAGTAGTGTTAACTTGCAGTGTTTAGCGTAGCGAGCTCTAGCACGGTCGCTCCAGAGTTGCGCAGATCTAGGCTATAGTTCTATCTAGGGACGAAAAAAGGCTCTACGGCGGGAATTGGAACAGGACCTAGGGGGGCTAAATTAGGCCCGGCCAGGGTGTGGGAGCGGGGACTTGTTTTAGCTTAGTGTTAAGGGCTCGCCCTCGGCGCAGCACCAGCCACAGGTACGTCATATATCCCTAGCGAATATGTGGCGCTGCTGCTAAGTTAACTAGAGCGCATAGCTTGTAAATCCCTAATTAGTCTGCGCGACAGCTATTAGCAACCTTCGCGATGCAGCACAACTTATGGCTATGCTATATCGCAGACTCCTCTAATGGCGCATTAACATATTACACCGTCTTCTAACTTGGCAGACCCTCCGTTGACGCCTAGGCTGACCGACGAGAAGCTCTTCTGCGTGAGCCCGCACCCCCGCCAGCGCCCTGTCCCCACGACTCTCCACCTCCACTTCTCGCCTTATCGCTAAGGCGGAAGCGTGCGACCTCTTCCGCACCCTATACCTATACAATGTCGACGCGCACCACCCAACACCAAGCGATCGAGACGCGATACCGACACTGAAGTTCTGCCTACCCACAGCGTATCAGCAGCCCGGGCGGCTTCGAATGCGAGCGCACTGATCCTCAATGAGAGGAATACCTTCAGTCCGCCTGGTAGCCAAGCCGACAGAGGGTAGATACCTTGGCTGTGGGAGCATATCGAAGGAAACCAGGACTTTGGATATCAAAGGATTGAGCGTTATGCCTGGGACGAGAGCACGGCGCGTAGCCTCTTGGACCCGGACGTTAACGGCGAGGAGCGTGAAAGACTAGTGTATGTGCTGCGGAAGGTAAAGAAGATCTGGCTGAACGCGCGAGTGTGCCAGTCGAGGGATCGCGATAAGAACGCGTGGTGCATAGACGTGATTCAGCCGCTGGTGAAGCTCGCCATGAGGCTTAAAGGGAAGGAGAAGTTTGTAGCACTCAATGCTGATCTCCGATCAGACAGTCCCAGGCTATCGTTGCTGAATTCCTTGCGTCCGTCCCCGACGTCTCTGGCAAACCCCGCCTTCTCGATCGCAAAGCGGACTTCACTCTCCTTCTCCCACATGCTTCCTCATCCCAAGGTATCCCCACTCGTGCAGACGCTTTGTCTTGTTTCCTCGTTCCTGGTAGCCATCTTATATAATGCGTCGTTGTTTCGGACGGCAAAACGGGTGGGACGTTGAAGGAACCGTTTCGGCAGGCGTATGCTCTCGCTTTCGTTTCGAGACAGGATTGGTCGGCGATGAAGGCTGTTGGGGAGACAAGGGGCCTCGAGGGGGTGAATGGGACGCGATTGTCATCGCCGTCGTAGTCGGGCTGCGAGGGGTGGACGCGGAGAGTCGTAGGGACAGGGCGCTGGCGGGGGTGCTGGGCGTCGACGGCGTTATGTAGGTGAGGAAGTCGCGCGCGCCGTTGTCCGCCTCGCTCGGGTGTGCCGCACTCTCGAGGTCGGTTACCTTACGTAATCATTGGAAGCGAGATTTGCATGCTCCCTCAATCGTCTAGAAGCGTCTTCCAGTCCACCGACTGACTGCCCGCGCAAGCAGATTTTAGAGCAGCCTGCACCTATCTTACCATGTGTTAGTGCGCCTCGCAAATTCCGTTCTATTACGGTAAGATGATAGGCCACAGTCTCGAAATAATTGCTGAGCTTTGTTCTCCAGGGCATCAACAATACTCTACGACGGTATTAAGACATGGTCGTCGTGCGGAAATGGGGCGAAGATCATATCAACAAGTCCCTCAGACAAATCGATTCAAATACCTGGCTCATTGGTGGCCTTATCCTCTATCGTTCACCGTGTCCATCCGATGGGGCGACTTGGAATGACGACGGCGACCATTCAAGCTACACATTGACGGAAGCACCAATCCCTCTTCCACCAACAACATCGCCTGATAGCCCGTACATTAAGCTGGTTCATGAAGCTGGTGATGCTTCTGCCGTCTGGTCTATTGGAAATAGTGCTTTTTGCAAAGTTCGGTACATTGAGGAGGGTATCACACCCGAATCAATCACCTTGGACTTTGTCCAGAATCAACAACCCAGCTTTATGACACCCAAGGTTATACATCATGCGTTCGGCAATGATCGATCCTACCTGTTCCTCCGCAGGCTCCAAGGCCGGACTCTGGACGTTGCATGGCCAACCCTGAATACGCAGTGGCGACTCCACTATGTTAATACCGTGGTAGACGTCTGCAAAGAAATGGCAGAGTGGAAAGGGCATAGGGTTGGCGGTGTGGACAATCAAAACACACCCGAATACTTCCTCGTCACGCCCCGAGGTAGCGACAACTTTAATTCGGTTCAAGCGGGATGTGAGGCGATAGGAATGGATTGCTCTAAACCTGTCTTCTATCATGCTGATCTCGGACCTGGAAATATCATTGTGGAGGACGAGCCGACTACAGGAGATATTGGGATTATTGACTTTGAAATTGCTGGTTATCTTCCTCGAGGTTGGATTAGGACTAAGTTTCGACTTTCTCCCGGGATGAACTTGTCAGCAAGCGAGCATCCAACCTGGTGGAGAGCAGAAGTTCAGAAAGCGCTTGGAGCTCATGGGTTTGAGGATCACGCAGATGCTTGGATGCGGTGGCGGGGCTATAGCGCGCCCTAGCAGTAATTTAAACATTTCACTATTGAGGATCGAGATAGGATTTTACGATTGCTGATTTAAGTCATGCATGATAAGGAGTGTCTGCCTGCATTCCGGAAGAACTAGCAAACTTCAAAAACTCCAACCCCTTTACTAGTTCATGCCATCATAGCTGCTACCGTTTCTCCACGTTGATACTACTAGGATTCATTACTATGACTTCCAAAGACTGCTCGTAGAGACCGATTACCTTATCAAGCTGGAGCAATAGGAAGTGCAGCACCACAGGTGCTTCCATCCGCCAAAGTTCCTTCGCATGTTTCCCTGCCAGTTATATTGTTGTATCCACATTTTGGACAGTTCGCCCAGTTAACAGACTCGATATGACCGCCGACTGCCATCGCGAAGGCTTGAGAGCAGGTGGAACCTGAAACAGTGCAAGGAGGGGACGTAAGAGGGTGAAGGGCTAATCCGCTTCGATTTCGATCGTTTCCGTGACAGAGGAGAGACTTGCTGAGGCGCGCAGAATTGCAGGAGGAAAAAGCGTCTTCCAAAAAGTTAACGCAAAAACTAGAGTATTGGCAGAGATTTATCATCTGTCAGCCTACAGAAAACACAGAACGCACACAAGGCGCCTCCGGCGGGGTCAAGAGCGGGGTCGCTGCAGGCATCCCATTCGACCGGTCTCTCTAGCAAAGCCAATCAACAAGTCGTACAGCCGCAAACATGCATTTCCCCAATCACATACCTAATCGAAGGCTTGGTTGCTCAAGGTGAGCGTCGAAGCATGTGGAGCATTTTAGCAAGTGGGGTGAGCTATTGCACGCAATCCGAAATCAACTCCACGTCACAGCAGACAAACCATCAACAGAGCAAACTTACATACTAGATCAGAGGGGAGAACTACCGCTTTTTAGATAGAGCGGTTGACTAATGTGAGGGTAATCTGGACGATTCTTTGATGGTTGAACGTTTTGTCGAGAGGTGTCGATAACGGCGTACTCGTGGAAGCATTGTGCGTTCTGTAATGAGGAAGGTGCTGCTTTTATCTCTAGGGCGACGAACGTGGCAATCTCGGTTGGCCAAGGCGTTGGGCATCTGACCACCCAGCTGCACAGGCTTCGCATCCACTCCAAAGACTAAGCCTATCCATCTACGTCGACAATGTCCTGGAATCCGGACTAGCAATTGCGCTGCCAGACTTGCCGCAAATTATACAAGCAAGTAGAAGCTATTCAGGTTGGTTAATCAACTTTGTCTCGAACAGCTACATTGACAACCCCTTGCCTCCCAAGCTGTCCAGTTCAGCTACGCGCCAATTCCCACCACCGCCGCCAGCACACTCTAGAACAACAGACCATCGAGCCATTAAACATCCCTCCGCACCTCTCCCCACGTCCAACTCCGCTGTCATCTACAGATAGCTCGCCGACGAACCTCGCTCCGGCTATTCCGACAACGCCCGTAGTCTATGCCAACGGGGAACACCCGAGCGATGTCAACAGCTTTAGTCTACGCATACTCGCTACGGCGGAAGGAGAGCAAGGAATAATGGGCGTCAGACCTTTGGCGGGATAACACAGTATGACATGTGGAAGGCCACGCAGAGTGGGTTTAAGCGGACTCGGCGAAGAATTCTTCCCATCTCTAAGCCCAATAAGGCCGGTGAGCGCAGGTAAGGGGAATCCATTAGGACTTTGGAGCGGAAGAGCGGAGGAGAGACGGTATCTATTATCTTACGTTACCTCTGCAATTCCGCAGCCAGATTGCAGCGGAAGGTGAACCTGCAAGTGACAAGATGAATATGCTCATATGTTGAGGGATGGACGAACGATTTCTTGATAACGGGCGCACAAGGCGCACTTGCTGTCCTCTCTCATCCCAGAGCGGATGCGCCAATCCCCGCTCATGTCTAGATGCTTTGTCTTGTTTCCTTGTCGCTGGTAGCCATCTCATGTGATGCGTTGGCGTGTCGGACGGCAAACCGGGCGGGACGTTGAAGGAACCGGTTTAGCACGCGCATGCTCTCGCTTTCGCTTCGGGACATGCGTTCTTGTCGGTGCCGGTAATGAAGCGATTGTTTCACATCGCTACCGGGGCGTGAAAGGACGCATTCTGAGTATTGAGGTAAGGCTATGGGTCACTCCTCCGGGCTGTGGCGTTGTGGAGGTGCTGCCGTAATGAAGGGCTATCTCATCACGTGCTGCTGCTTGGGGAACAGCACGTAAAGCTCGGACCATGCCCGACAAGCAGCTCTGCGTCGGAACCCTCATTTCCCCCGTCCTCTCGTCACTCTTCCATGGGGACCCCCGGCCCGCGACTTGACTTTCTGGACGCGCGCTTTCGGAGCCTCCCACCCCAAAAAGGTGTGCTCGCAGCGCCGCACTACCCTCCGCCGACGCAGAGAACCTGCGCTGGGTGAGCGTTTCGGGCCTTCCTTGAGCTCCCCCTCCGCCCACAAATAGAACCCACCACCGTTTCGACACAACTTTAGAAGTAGTACAACCTCTAAACTACGACTGTGCCCGCACACCTTACAATTCCCAAGCCAACTCCGCTTGCAACACTACGCAGAGCTGCGCGATTATGTCGACCCCCTCCGGCGGCAAGTCAGGGAACCCGCGTTCGCCAGCGGTCTTCAGAGACTACCTTAGTCAGGTCGAAAGCCTGTTTCACGCTTTCCAACGCGCGAAGCTCGAGTCCGAAGACGGTGGTGTACAAGTGTTTCGTCAAGACATCTCCGCACCATGCGGAAGGCGGGAGAGGGGCGTTTCGAAACGCGGCCAGCGTGCGCCTACACCGCTGTCTACGATTCCCTCCGTGTATTTCGATGAATACTTTCGCCTCGAGAATCCGCGCACTTTCGATATTGTCAGTGAGCATGCGGAGGTTGTAAGGCAGCCACTGTCTACCACGGGAGACGATAGCAAGGGTGCTAGGAAGCCGCTTATTGCCGATGCTATATTGCAAGAGAAGCTATCGTGGTACATGGACACTGTAGAGATTCATCTGATATCTTCGATTTCGCAAGCGTCAGCCTCTTTTTTCGCCGCGCTCGGCTCTCTTCGTGAACTCCAGGCCGAGGCGGCCGACTCTGTTGCACAGATCCAGAAGCTGAGGGAGGACCTCGCACGTTTGGACAGGGAGATAGCAGTACGCGGTTTTGAGATCATCAACATGAAGCGAAGACGGGACAATCTGAGAAAGCTAGGCGAGGCTACCAAGCAGCTTCAAAGTGTCCTCAGCGGCGCTAGTTATTGCGAGGAACTCGTAGACTCTAGGCAGCTAGAGACGGCTATACACCACATCACGTACGTCGAACAGCTTGCATCCGGAACGCTAGATCCAAAAATTCACGGCGAGTTGCATTGGCTTTTGCCGAACCCATTTATCGGGCTTACCAATCTACGCCGACTACACGCTTTTGAAGGACTGTCGCGAGGCATCAACCAGCTTCGCCTGCGGATTAGGAAAGATTACGAAGCCCGATTGCTGGACGTCCTTTTGTGCGACCTGCGCCGACATGTGTCCAGCGTACCGCCGAGAGATACTCTAGCACGCTGGACGGATGCCGCAAAACGTGCACGCGGTGCCACGGATGCCTTCTTATCGACACCCGCGTACATGATGACTGCAGAAAAGCTGCGCGAAGAACTCACCCCTATTCTGCAGGGACTTAGCCAGTCGCAGTATCTAGCTGCAGCAAGCACCACGTTTCGTGAAGCTGTCATCCGAGAGATAAAGTCTCTTATCCGCCAGCACCTACCGAGCTCTACCAACGACGACAATAAGACTGTCGCGTCTACGTCTACGCAGGCAAGCGGTCGACGTCTAACTCAGCAGGAGAAGTCGAGTATTCTGTCTCGCAACTTGCGTGCTCTTAGTCCCAAGGACGCCGAAGCGTTCTTCGTTAAGGTCTACTGCGGGATAGGCGAAGCATTACGAAGGCTTAGAGTACAGATTAAGGTTCTCCTCGATGTTACAAGCGGCATAAAGAAGACTCCAAGCAACGTACTCACGCCGTTCCAAAGTCCGGAAAGTATGGACAATCCGGTAGTCCGTCCGCCCAGCCTTTCGATGGGATGTAATTTGCAAGAAGAGATTACTCAAGCTCTTGACATGTCAAGTCTCCTTGAACAGGCAGTGGACAAGGCACAATTAGAGACGACAAAGGTGCTGCGAGTTAGAACTGAGCAAATTGTTCGCCTTGGATTAACCAATTTCCTAAGATACCTGACGCTGAATCGCTTTTTTGTCAATGAATGCGAGGCAGTCTCTGGACACTCTAGGGCGGCGCTTAAAGGCGTCGTGAACAACCAAATCCAAGACTTTGTCTCACTTCTGCACGAAGTAGAAAAGCAGAAGCTAGCGCAAAGGATGGATTCTGAGAAGTGGGAGCGCATCGATTTCAAGCCCAGGGACGCAGTAATCCTGGCGCACATTATCCAGTCCATAACCACTGATCCCCCAGCATGGACCGCAGGCCTGGAAGCGGACGAACGGAATTCACAGACAAACGGCACCCCTGCGGAGCCTGGGATCGCTGCTAAGCACGACAAGAAAGATTCGACACTAGCGGTCATCGAGGAGGAGAAGTTTATGCTCGTCGATTCGGCAGCATGTGCGCTTCGCGGCATAGAGCAATACACAATCCTCCTGGCATCGGTCCCTAGCATGGCCAACGACATCTCGACATTCCTGCTCGACTATCTCAAATTTTTCAACTTTCGCACACAACAGCTCATTCTTGGTACCGGCGCTAAGTTAACAGCTGGGCTGACGAATATTAATACTAAGCACCTTGCCCTTGCCTCGCAGTCGCTGTCCTTCTTCATTGCCCTAGTACCCTACCTGCGCGAGTGTGTCCGTCGTCGGCCGTCTATCACAGGCTCCGACATGGCAGAATACGACCGGCTGAAGCGCTTGTTCCAAGACCATCAGTCCTCTATCTACAACAAGCTCATCGACATAATGAGTGTTCGCGCGACCGTCTGCATCAGAGCGATGGAGAAGATTGAGTGGGACGATGAAGACGAGGTGCATGGGAACGTCAGTCCGCACGTAGAGACGCTCACGAAAGATACGCTCACACTACAACGAGTGCTGAGCAAGTACCTGCCGGAGTCGAGCGCGAGGATGATCGTTGGACGGGTCTTTGTGAGCTACAAGGAGCAATGGAGCAAGGCATTCGAAAGTGCGGTAATACGGACCCAGGCCGGGCAAGCGAGGTGAGTATCTTCCTCAAGAACATGTCGTTGCTGGCTAACTAATGTGTAGGCTTCTGCGACACGCGGAGCTGCTCGAAGCAAAGCTCGGCAAGATTGACGGCGCAAAACAGCTCGGCGCGCACATGATCAATATTGTCAAGGCGAAGCAGGTCGCATCCGAGGGCACGCCCGCATGAGTTGCGGCTGCAACCAACGAAGCACGGCGGGAGAGACTTAATGTAGTATTTGATATCAAAAGAGCCTGCTATAGACAAGGCACCGTGCCTTGCGGCTCGTTCCGCAAGGAAACCTTCCCAGACAGCGGATGCTTGCATTGACGAAGACCATCAGCGGAGGCCCGAACCGCAAGCGACTAAAGAAATCCCAGCTACCCCCAACGATGAGCCTGGATGTAACGTAGGTATGCGCCGCCCGACCCATCAGCGATTTCCAACCATTTCTGAGCAACTCCACGCTCTAGGACTTGCGATAGTCGATGAACTGCACTATGCCAGAGCTTGTGCGTTGAGAAGAGAACATCGTTGAGGGGAGATCCGCTTGATGCCCAGGCGTATTGTGGAAGCTTGCCAGAACGCTTGGCCAGCATACGCAGCACAATCCCAGCCATTATCTTGGAGTATGGACGGCAGCCAACGCTTGGCAAAATCGAAACAGCATTCCTCGAGTATGCGCTGAGCAGTCGTTAAGATAGTATGCTGTGTCGTATATGGAAGGTAAGACGGGTAGAGCGAAGGTGGAACATCGTTTGCAGGGCATAGTAACGGGGTTTCTGAAAAGGGGTCAGTGGCACTTCGATATAAAAGAATGCGGTCTTACCGGGAGTCTCTTTTCCGGGCTCAGACAGCCTTTGGGAATGCTGACCACCGTCGTCTTGATCCAGCTCATTGACCTGAGAATATCGCGAAACTCGGGGTCGTCGGCCGTTAGGATGTATCGCCCCCGCTTCCCCGACTTCTCAAATGACCACCTGCACGCTCTTCCGCCTGACGTTGTCCTTCTTGAGCGAGGGCGCGTACGCGACGTCGATGCTGCCGCCGTCGGACGGCACGGCGTTTGTGCTGCGGCTCTCGTCCCGGGCGTGGGCCTTCTCGTCGGGCTTTGCGGCGGGATGGTCGTCCTCAGACACCGTGAAGGATGCCTCTGGCGTCCACGAGTCTTCGCTGTCCATGCGAGGAAGGTTCGTCGCTCGCCATGATTGGATGGCGATGGCGATGCGATAGAGATGGCGCTATCGAAGGCGTTGCGCAGTGTGCAATGGGGTGGCTTCATGTGAGATCCAGCGTTGAGACATGGCGGGTTCTGGCGCGCGGCTGTCAGACGCCGCCATTGGATATATACTGCGCTGAAGGGCGGCCGGAAGAGCTGGAAGAACAGTGGCAAGACAGAGACGAACGGCAACGCTCGCTCCGAGGCATCCGCCGACGGTGAGCTCAAACCGCCGACGGCGACGATGTTCGGAGAAGCGTGACGCGCTGCGAGCTTGCGCCACACGCAGCCCACCAGCCCCACCCGTCACGTGGAGGCCGCCTCTCCAGGGCCAAGGCTCCAGACATCTCACATCCCCGGACTCTCCCGACAACCCGGCATCCAAAACGCGCCTCATATAATTACAGTACGCGGGCAGACTCATCCTCACCGCCCCACGCCTCAACAGCCAGACGTTCCGTCCACGATCACTGTTCCCTTCGCTTTCACTCTCATCGCCGCCGTGGCACATGTTGAGTTGTCGCGCGCTGTTCTCGCAGGTGGGGAATCCACTTCAGACTCCTCTGTCCTTGCTGACGTCCGCAGGTAAAAACCGCCTTCGAATCTTCGAATCCCCACTTCCCGTCGCCCCCCCCAACCACCTGTCCGCGACCGGTCGCCTTGCGAGCTTTGCGCTTCTATCCTCGCATTCCCGCCTTTCTAGTTACATATCTTCCGCGTATTGGTCGATATGTCGGATCGTGAGGTGGTCGTGTATCGCCAGTACTGCCCAGCGGGAGTGCAGCGTGTTCTTGCATTCGGAACTAGCGCCTTCATCGGGGAAGTTGATGGTTCGACCGTCCTCAAGTACCCTCTCGAGCCGGGTGGTGATATGAGTCACCTCAAGCATGAACACAAAATTCTCAAAATACTTGGCCGACACCCCCGAATCGTCGCCCACAAAGGACTTACAGATGCTGGCTTATACCTTGAGCGTGCAGCAAATGAAACGATCTACAAGTACCTAGTCGAATCGGATCGTACTCCGCCTTCTCTTCGCCAGCGGGTGACCTGGTGCCGTGAGGTGGCTGAAGCAGTCGAGCATATTCATTCAAAAAGCGTTATCCACTGCGACATTCAGCCAACAAACATACTAGTCGACGAGAATCTTCATATCAAGCTCGCCGATTTTCAAGGGGATTACCTCTCTGAGAACGGCGAGGTCATAGCCGGCCGGAGCGGCGAGCCATGCAGATATTTCTGTCCCCGGGATAATGAGTTTGAGTCTAGTCCGACGACGGATCTTTTTGCGCTTGGGTCTACTATCTACTTTATTATGACTGGCCACGAAGTCTTCCTAGATATTGCTGGAGGAGAGGATAGGTGGGCTGAGCAAGTAAGGTCACGTTTTGCAAGCGGCATTTTTCCTGAGGATTCCCACGCGTGCAATTTCGTTACGCGGAAATGCTGGGAACGTCGATATAGTTGTGCAAGTGAGGTTCTCGAGGATATTAAAGCCGTTGAGAAACAGCTAAGCGGCCAACACCGTTAGAGCGAAAAGCGTTCTCTCCAAATCACACGTTTTCATGTATTACTACTGATATGCGATCGATAATCCACTTCCGCCCCGCCAGTTCACTGTCCGAGTTGAAGTGTGGCTAGCATTTAGGGCATATATGCCCTGGCACCTTCACCAAGCTGGTTCCCGTGTATACGTCTTTGTACCCAGTGTGCTCGCTCTCGTTGCAAGGAAAAAGCGTTATGACTTCCATCTCGTGCTTTGGTGTTGCAGTGCAGTTCAGCCACTTGGTCTTCGTGATACGTCGCTCGCAACGACAAGCCATGGTTATTTTGTGATGAGGACTTAGGTGAGGACACAAAGTAAGTGAAGAGTCTTGCAACGGATGACACATTATACGTACGGAAGTGACACCAGAACTCTTAAGTCGATGCCGGTTCGCGAGAATGAAGGGTCTTGATTGTGAATTGATAGAGCTGAAGATATGCCTTTGTAGTATTTGGCACCAGATCAGCTTAGCAGCGGAGTCCTGTTCCGGCTTCTGCGGGTGTGTACGAAACGGGCAGTGGCTTATGCAACCAACTTACGTCTGCGCGGCCGACTCATCATGCTCAATATTATCGCTACATAGGGATGAGGGACGACCACGCTAGAGTTAGCTGCATGTGATGACCGGATGGTCACGACGGCTGGGCCGAAGAGATCGGGATGTGTTGTCAGAAAGCACGGCGCTTGTGCCAGGCTACTTTCGCCGATGTGTGCCACTCCTGCCGTGATGCCGGCCGAGTCTGGCTGGCAGCTGCATCAACCAACCCGCCGGCGTCCTCCAATCATCTCCTCCGCCATGCCCCCAAGGTGCCATGCCTATTATTCCTTGCTCTCCTTCTGCAGTGGCGACTGATGGGGTCATGACCCGGGGGCGGGCGTGTGTTGGACCCTATCCAAGATTAGAATCTTCGCAAGCACTTCTCTCGATTTCGTGCATGTTACATACCAGCCCGGAGGTCACACTGGCCCTGCTAGCCCTCGCGCCAGCACGACACAGGCTCCGCCGAACCACCATTCCCACTCCCCGTCCGTGGCATCCGACGGCACCGGGAGAACCGCCCCGCGAAAACCACCCCGCTCTGCCACGTTAACCGGATCTTCTACACTAAGCCGGTTTGGGGCCACCAAAACGCGCAAAAGCAGGTCACGCGGGCGAACGGCGCATGATTGGCGACGACTGAGCTGCTGCCTATCACGACATGATAAGCACATGCTTAGGTGCGCCTTCCACCTGAAGAGGAGCCTAGATGCCGGAAATGCAGGCCATGCTAGCACAGTACCACCAATTAGCGAAGACGCCCCGACGCGGTGCGCGGCGCTAATCCTGCCACCTCGTTGGACGGTTACGCCTCACCGAAAACAACTCTCGCGAGAAGGAGCGTTGCATATTAGACCTATTTGGCCGTCCACCCCAAGCACTACAAGAGCTCCTCCCTCCTCTATCATGGACGGACCCTCGCAGTCTACGAAAAGACGGCTCGACACGAGTCTCGAGACCCCTTCATTACCTGCCGCGAAACGAGCACGACTATTCAAGACAAACCTGCAGTAATCCGCGCTAAAGCGCCCTAGAGCCTCGTTCCTTAAAGACCACGTTAGACTAACAGACACAATTTCTAAGTAGCTTAAGTCTATTAGATTAGACTAAGAAAAACGCTACTAGTTAGACAGCTATCTTTACGTCTTAAGCAATAATTCTATCTTAAGAAACTTTATAAGATTAGCGCTATAGATAGCCTATAACTAAGATATAGATAGATACGCTATACTACTAATACTAAACTTATATACTAGATTATTTACGCTATTAATTATACTATTAGATAATACTAGTACTACCTCTAGCTTAAGTTAATTATTAAGAGCTTTTATTAAAGATCTATCTTACTAAGACTAGAATCTAGCTATAAATAGTATCTATATACGTTACTATAATAAGCTATTCTCTAAATATATTACTAGTATTATTAATTATATATATAAGAAGTATAATTCTTCTAGACTATTTTCTAATAACGTATACTAAGATATAGCCTTAGATAAACTTAAAATAAGTAGACTTAATAAACTAGAAGTTAAAGACTACTTTAAGAATAGAGTATTCTTTAAATATAATCTAGAAAATAACCTAATATATACTAATAGATAGCTAATATCTAGATATACTATACTAAGCTCTACTAAAACTAAGCTTAGAGTTAGTAACCTAATCTCTAATATACTATATAGATATAGTTATTATTATATATTTTCTAACTAGTAAACGTAACTTATCTCTATAGAAACTAAAATAAATAGAATAGCTAATACTTAGAGATTAATATACCTATTCTTTATTATTAAATTTAAGAGTAATAGTAAAGACCTCTAGATAGTAATAAACTAGTACCTTAAAGAATTCGTATCTTGCGTTAATATTACTAAACGTCTTAATAACTAACTAAGAAAGTATAAGAGTAGTAAGATCTAACTAGTTAATAGTATCGCGTTTAGCATTACTATAAATAGTACTAAAGTATAACTCTATATCTTATAGAAGTATAATAAGTTAGACTACTATATATAGAAAGTAAGAAGCTTCTTACTTTAGAATCTAGAGTATTATATTAAATTCTATAAGTATATTAAGAATATTATTAACTAGAGAAAAGATAAATATCTAATAGAGATCTAAGAATTACTAAATACTCTTCTAGAAGTAGCTAGATAGAGAGTCTTAGAAGTTATAAAAGCCTAACCTCTACTATATACTAGCTCTACTAGTAAAAGTAAAAGATACTACTCTAGTAACCTAGAATACTATAAATAATTAGTTATTAGAATATAAACTATAAAAGAGAGAAAACTTATTATAATCTACTTATTATAAGCTATTCTTTTAACTAAGACTAAGGCGTACTATTATATAGAGAGGTAAAAGATATACTTTAAATATAGATTATTTATTAATAAAGAGGTAAATATAATAATATAATAAGTTATAAGTTATAATAGTAATTTATTAAATAAAGTAATTACTATAAAAGGCTATAAGAAGTAAGCTTTCTAGTATTATATATATAAGTCTTTTAGTGTAATTCTATATTCTATTTATATATATACTAATAGGTCTAGTACCTTAAGTATAAGTAGTAGTTACGAATACTCTTTAGCTTATCTTCTAAAAGCCTCGTCTCTAATTAGTCTTAAAATAAGCTACTATAGGTTACTCTATTACTATTTCTATTCTAATAGTTCTAACACTATAAGAAACTTTCTAAGACTCTTCTAGTCTTAAGTATATCTATTCTAAACCTATCTATTTATATATTTAATATTCTTTATATTAGATAGTATCTAATATAAGTTAACCTAGATTCTAAAGTTATATCTAGATACTTTATCTTATTTTCTTATTACTAGTAGCTATTTTATATAATACGTTTAGTATTTTAGATAGTAAAGTAGGTAGAACGTTAAAGAAACTATTTTAGTAGGTATATGCTCTCGCTTTTATTTTAAGATAGAATTAGTTAATAATAAAGGCTATTAGAGAGACAAGAGGCTCTAGAGAGTAGTAGAACGCGATTACTATCGCTATTATATTTAGGTTATAAGAAGTAGACGTAAAGAGTTGTAGAGACAAAGCGCTAGTAAGAGTACTAGGCGTTAATAGTATTATATAGAGTAAGAAAGTTATATACGCTATTATCTATCTTACTTAGGTATACTATATATACTAAGAGAAGTATATATTTAAAGTAGCTAGTATTAACCTATAGGCTATTATTATAAAGTAGATAATATAGTAATATAATATATTATACTATAAGAAGTAGAAGACTTAGTAGACTATAGAAAATATCTATATAGATACTAAGACGCTAGTTATAGTTACGTAAGTAGTATCTAAACTTAAACCTATATTAGTACTATAATAGTACCTTTCTTCTACTTTACTATTTATTCTAAATAGCCTAACTCTAAGAAAAATTCTTTCTATCTTTATTAGAGCTTAGTTAACTTTCTTACCTATAATAGTAGTTTTAGCTTTTTTAGGTATATACTATAGAAGGCTAGAATTACTTTATCTTAGCCTCTAAGGTCTATTACTAGCTACTAGAAAGGCTTATAGTATTTCTATTTAATAAGATATTATAGGTCTCTATAGTTATTATAGCTATTAAGTAGCTTATTAAATTTCTATTACTTAGTTACTTTATCTAATCTATCTTCTTATTCTAGAACTCTTCTACGTAGGTAGTATAACTCTACTTTATTAATCTTATCTTATTCTAGAAGGCTCTTAATATTATATTAGAGTTATAGAAGTAAGTAATAAAATACTAGAAAGATTTTTATAGATAGTAGTAGGTCTAGTAGATAAGTATATAAGTAGACTTTCTTAACTTTATATAGTCTAGCTATCTTATTATTCTCTTTCTTTATTAGGTAGTTAGTTTTTATATTACGTGTATTAATATAGACCTTCTAGCCTTTCTTATAGTATAGCGTATCTTTTTAGTAATTATTAGTATATTACTTATACTAGTTAATAGACTACTATATAAGAGCTTTTAGTTAAGTAAGTATATATTTAAAGTAGTCTATAATAGTATTAGTATAGTAGAACTACTATTTCTATATTAGAAATAGGTTTAGTAGATATAGTTATAAAGGCTCTAAGTCTAATTAGAGATTATAGCTATAGTTTATAAAGAATAAAGATATAACTATAGTCTCTAATACTATATTATTTATTATAAATTTAGTAAGAGATAACTATTAGACCTAGTTATTTTAGTAGAAGTTTATAAACGTATAAAGGTATTATTTAATACTACTATTAACTCTTTCTATTTAGCTATTAGTCTCTAGATAGAAGAATAATAAGTATTTTAGCTTAATATCTAGTCTCTCTAAGAGATAGTACTAGAATTTAGAAATAAACTATATATCTTAGTCTAAAACTATATTATCTAGTATACTATATAAATAGTATACGTAGCTTATAAAAGCGTCTACTAATTTCTCTATAGATAGTAAAGAGACTAAGATAAGATAGCGTATTTTAGTAAGGTAGTAGATAACTACTAGTAGGTACTTATATATTTATCTATTCTTTTTATATAGTAGTAATAGAGTAATATAGTTAATAGATATATCTAACTAGATATAAAATAGTACTAGTAGTAGTTATAGAAAGCCTTAAGAAGTAAGACGTAAGCTTTTAATACGCGTATATAGCTTATAAGCTTTAATATATTCTTTAATATCTCTAGTAACTTATAACGCCTATCTAGCTAGGTACCTATTAGAGGCTACTTAGTCTACCTATAGTTACGTAGCAGCCTAGTATATAGCTTAGTCTTCTTCTACTCTTATTTTATAAGAATTTAACTATATACTAGTACTACTTAATATATTATATTACTACTTCTTAGTATATTATCTATCTATCTTACTACTTACCTTATAATTTAAATTCTTTATACTTCTACACGAATAGATAGCTAGCCTTAATATACTCTACTAGTAATTAACTTTTTTAAAAAATTTAACTATAATAGCTAATAGTTAAAAAGATAATAAGCATACTCTTTATAAGATACTAATACTATAAACTAATACTAGCCTATCTATATTCTAAGATATCTCTAACGTTAACCTATAACTTTATAGTAAAATATAATATTACTACGTATAAGACTATCTTAAGAAGTTACTAGAGAGTAATAATAATAAAATTACTCTAGAAGAAAGAAATACTAGAGACTCTAAATTAGGCTAAGACTAGCCTAGCTATAGGTTTCTACTAAAAAACTCTTATACTAATAGTAGCTTATAATTACTAACGTAAGAAATCTCTATACTAAACCTTTCTAAGAATAGAGATACTACTTTACTCTATTATAGAAACTCTTTATAGCGTATAGATAAGATTAGAGTATTATACTATACTATCTTAAAAAACTCTTATAGAGCTAGAGTATCTTTAGCTCTAGCTACTAACTATAGTCTAACCTCTACCTAGAATCTCTCTAGTTCTAGCTAATTAGACTCTGTTTAAGCATATAAGCTTAACCTTTTTAGACGCTAAAATAACCTTTAGATAGTAGAAGCTCTAGACTATAAGGTTAAGAGAGCTAAGAAGGTATACTATAAATTCTTAGCTAGGTTTAACCTACGCCTAGAAAGATTTCGCGAAGTACTTGCGGCCTCTTTAGTAGATAATTACTAAAAGGTAATTACTAGCTTACTCTAATTCTAGAATTTCTCTAAGCTTAGTATACTAAAAAAAGCTCTAATAGTTTAATAAATTAAGTACTAGATCTATCTAATAACCTAGTAAATAAAGCTATACTTTATAACTAAGAATTCTATCTAACGTATACGTTAGGTAGCTACTCTAGTTAAATATAATATCTATCGCGATATTTTAGACTATAAGATTAAAGCTAGTAATATTTAAACGTAGACTAACGTCTAATAGTATCTATAAAACCTATTAGAAGACTTTATACTTATAAAGTTTAGGTACTACTATAGGTTCTAGAATATTAGGTAGCGTTAGAATAACCTATTTAATACTTTCTATAACTATCTAACTAATTACCTAGCTCTTATAAACCTTAACTTATTTAAGAGGCCTAATAGTAATATAGTTAAAGTTTTATTTATATAGACTAGATACTCTAATTAAATTAGACGTAAAGTATAACGTGTAGAATAGCTTAAGAGCGTTACTATATAGCTAATCTTTAAATAAGTAGTTTATAATATAAAGATAGCTCTTAGTACTATCTCTAATCTAGACTCTTTCTAGAAACCTTTTACTTAAAGGCTAGTTAGTTTAGAAAAATAAGTAGTATTCTCTTTATCTATTCTAAATAATAAGTTTAAAAAATAGAACTAGAAGCTATATAGGTAACGTACTTCTAAGTAATAACCTTCTTAGTTATTAGCTCTCTTTTAGTCTAAGAGCGTTACGTTCTCTTTCTATATAGAATCTAATATAAGAAAAAAGAGTTACTAGAAAAGTTATAGAAAGACTAATTAGTTAGAAAATAGAAACCTCTAATAGTAAACCTTACTACTCTACTATTAGGTTACTATATAGATAGTAAACGCCTCTAGATTACTATTACTATTTAGCTTTTAGAACCTAATAGTAACCTAGTAACTCTCTAAGCGCTATATAATAGTAGCGTAGAGATTAACCTTATTTAATTAAATACTACTAGAGAGCTATAGCTTGCTAAAGCCTATTAAAGAAAACTATAGGTATAGTTTCTTAATAATAATTAGCTATAGCTAGTTTTCTCTTATAACCTTATAGTTACTTACGCTAATAGTTATAGTAACTTAAAAGTAATAAACCTATAACCTTTCTAGATAGCTAATTTTATAGGTTATAACCTTGTTTTAGACTACTCTTAGCTAGTAGAAGCTAACCTAAAGATCTAGTTTAAGAATAGAACCTTTAAATAGTAGAATTTAAATATTATAGATAA